TATTACTACAAGGTACACATGGTATTACTACAAGGTACACATGGTATTACTACAAGGTACACATGGTATTACTACAAGGTACACATGGTATTACTACAAGGTACACACGGTATTACTACAAGGTTCACGTGGATACCTCATATTCTGGATAGATAGTTATCAGTGACCCAGGGAATACATCACCATTAGTTTCCCCGTTGCCATGGCTTTATTAATTTGCTTGAGTAGCAGAGGGCCATACTGGTAAATTGACCTTACTTTTATCAGTCACAAAAATGTCAAGCTCTTATTGAAGGCTTATTGTAAATCTGTCAGCCTTCTAGTACTGTAAAGTACAGTACAGTCAGGATGTAACATCTAACCTGGCTATCATCTGGCTATACCTTTTTCATAGAAACTTATAATTTTTAGAGTGTCATTGTCATCCATAATTTCAACTTACCGGTAATTTTTTTAGTATTTGTCTATGTTATTATGAGACATTTTATATATATAGCAATTTTAAAATCAAGCTAAGCTAGCTAAATGTTAAGTTATGCTCGGATCTTGATGGCTTTTTTATTAGCTTTTCTGTTGACAAAGTTATTAGTATTAATGTAGTAATACTGAATGCCCGTCCACTCAATTTTACATGGACTTCTTAAAACAGTCACATGTATGGTTTTCCTACTTGCTGCATTTGGGACTGGGGTGGCTTATTGTTCGTATATTCTTGTGACTTTTGTAGGTGAGTGCATGTTTTCTTTGTTATATAACCATTTTAATTCCTTTCGAGGAGTTTTAAGCATTCTTTAATAAATTGGTGTTACAGGTAGAACAAGAGGAACTGAAGGAGTTTGAGTTATTAGAACAAGCAGCTGATGATACATCATTTACCAGTAACTCTTCTATGGTGGCGAGAATGCTCAATAAACAGGTAATATTATCAATAATTATAACAAAACCACCTTAACTGACACCTTAAAGCGTGGTGGTCATCGAATTTCATGTAAATAAACAATATATTTTACACGCATTGTATACATCGCTATGAGTTCCATATCGAACAGGACGTGGCACGACGACTGCCGCCCTTTAAAATTTAACAAACATTGCAAGCCTGTCTGCTGCTGAAATAAGATAAACTCAGGACATCAATACACTTACAACACCTTTTGTGGATTGTCATCGCTGTTGCCTTTGCCATATTTATGTCGCTCTGTGCTGGTGTAACATGTTCTCTATGCCAAAGAACTTACATCAGAGATGAGTTTAGCATAACTTGGTCTATATGTGTAGAAATGTGGCACATTTCCACGGCAACTTATTCTGTTGATATTCAAAATATAGTCTCATAATATGAGATATGTGTATTTGGATTTTCTTTCTCAACATTACATACATGGTATGTAGGTAGAATGAACAATTTAAAACAAGTGTATATTGTAGATATTTTCTTTTACATTGTGCAAATGAAGAGGCGATGAGCAATACCATTTTTACAATAAACGCCCCTTGTGAAAATGGTCATTTTGTTTGAATCCCAATCACTGAAGTCCTAAAAAACAACATTGGCAACTATGTTAGGGAAATTGCAATGGTCCATGGGAAATTGGTTAGAAGATAGCGGTATTCATGGTCAGTTTATAGTGATTTTTACTGGTACTAAAATTTTGAAAAATTCCAAGGTAACTGGCAGTGTTTGATTTATAATTATGCTTCAACTGAAAACCCCCTCGATAGTAAATCATTTGAACTCCTCATCTACGTTTCCAGGCAACGGGAGATGCTGTGTTGCCAAGCAATAAAATATCACTGCATTTAAATGATTGGACTTTGCTTGAAGGATTTAAACGCTTTTAATGTGTTCTGTTAATAGTTCTAAGTTGATACATTGTATTTGCCAACCATCATTTTAGACAGTGGAACAAGTAATTTCATACGAGTATGAGTATGTCATGGGAGTATGACATCAATACACGTTGGGTAATTTGTAATCACCTAAGAACGCCAGTACGTGATGTCTGCTTCGGCGACACCAAGTCTACGGGTTAGTCTACAATGTTTCAAAACTAATAACAGTCATGTCAATGATTATAAATCATCAGTAACTTAGTAAACCAATTTATGATTAAGAACTATATGAACATTTGGAGACGTAATTTTTGTTCTAAGTTCTACTGTAATGACCTTTACATGTTGGCTTCCATACAATAATTATTCCATGCTTGTTTATGTATGGTGTCTACTGCCTCCATAAATACAGCATATATACAGACTGTTGCTGTTCTGTGTCATAACAGCTCTCCGTATCCTATCTTTTACTGCATCATGAAAATCACCATAATATACAATTGATCTGGCACTTGAGACATGTTAACTCTCATGTTGGTAAATCGGTATCTGTATACTTGGGAAGATTATTGACCATGATAGTCAGGATAGAACCTTGAGGTCATGGTCCCTCAGGGTCTATGGTGTCTTCATTTCAAATACATGGAATGTACACTGCTGTAGTCTCAACTGAAGTTGGGTATCGGTAGTT